CTCAAGGGTTGTGCTTCAAGCTCACTAACTACTTCTCAGAAACCCTATATAGGGTCATTATGGGTTGGAACCGACTTGACAGCACTTAAAAACAAAAAAAGTGAGTCAGCATGCCAAAGCGACAATAACAATGTTTTGGAATTAAGCATATTAAGGGCAACTCACTGTGTAAGGAGGGACCAGTCCCTTAAACATCTCAAGTTTTCTATATTTGTCCTCTGAAAAATGAAAGAAAAGAATGACACCAATAGTGTTTAAATCAGCAAATTCTTTAATGCCCCCCCCCCATTCATCTTGGTGGAACTTTTAGAAAATAGCTAATATGTCCAAGCCCCATACCCAGAAACTGATTCAGTGCTCAAGTGTAGTACTTTCTGTATTCTTTAAAAGTTGATGCTGAATGAGAATGATTAGACGACCACAAAACTCTTCATACTCTTAATATCCAAGGTAGGACTGGCCATCACACACAGAAACAGCATTGTGAAGAGTGGATCTTACAACTAGTCAATGTAAACAGGAACTGCCTTGAATTAATTTTTGTACACATATCATACAATTCTTTAACAGTTTATCATGAAAACTTAAAGCATCTGAAATGGCATCCATATCTTCCCCTCCCTTTTTTGAAAGAAAATACTACAATCCCAAAGTGAGATTTACATTTTATTAGAGCTTGTTGTTAAGTGTTATCAAGTAAGTTCCGACTCATAGCGACCCTGTATAGGGATTTCCGAGGAGCAGCTGGTGAGTTTGAACCGCCGACGACCTTGTGGTTCAAACTGACCTTGTCATCCACTGCTTATCGAGTAACAGGGTCAGCAGTTCAAACCCACCAGCTGCTCCTTGGAAACCCTAAACAGGGTCACTACGACTCGGAACTGACTGGATGGAAGTTAACAACAACTCACACTTAGTAGAAAATTACATTTTTAATAGATTTAATAGAAAATTAAATTACAAATTACATCTGATATAAGGCGAAATGTCACTCAGTCCAACACCCTCACTTTACAGTGCTTTCTAGTACTCCAAGTTGAAAGATCAATTTAAAGCACCAAGTAATTGCTTGTCACCCAACAGTGCTGATCAAAGAAAGTTTTAAAAGTACTAGTCACTGAATAGTAGTAAATTGCCTGTAAAATCCTTAAAGACAGGATTTGAAAATTAAGGATTTTGATACTATTATCATAGCTTAAAGTCATGATTATATAACTCAACATTTTAAACACTGTTTTGAGGACATTTCTTTTCTACTAATTTCTAAAAACAAGCCTGTCTACTTCAGTTATAATTTCAGTATGATAATCATACTACTATGGAGTACTGGCATGGTGCTGTAGGACAAGCACTGGACTGCTAACCACAAAGTCAGCAGTCCAAACCCACAAGCCGCTCTTTGGATAGCCTCTATAGGGTTGTTATGAGTTGAAACCAACTGAAAGGCATTTAACAACAGCAACAACATACCATCAGAAAACAACAAAAAGTCCAACAACTTGCAAGTAAGTTGAACACAATGAAAATCAGTGTTAAAATGCTTACCTTTTGGAAGCAAATAATGATAGACACTCTAAGAACATTTACCTGCTGTATTACTTAATAATAAAACACTTTGTTAAAAGGATTATTCACTTATTTCAAGTATAAAATCTGATATCAGATGACTCAGATATAATTTCTACATGTGTCTGATAGAAGAAATAAACAATACTTAAGAAGAGGAAACAAGCCTATGACCCAGGATATGGCAGAAAACGATACGGGTTTCCATTCCATTTCCCTTATGCAACTCCATTTCTCTTAGGCAGTTTCCATTATTTCTAGACCTTGTTAAGGCACTGAGATGCCTGAATGAATTCTAAAGCTTCAGCTTAACTGGAGAAGAAAATTCTGGCTTAAGTGAAATAAGTCTTTTCTTTTAATGAGATAACTTTCAGTATCACCAAATATCAACTTGAAAATAGGATCATTTAAAAAAATCATTTATGAGACACTAGATTATAATCCTACTACACTGATTTAAAATGAACAAATCTGTGTTGGAAGAAGTAGTTAGACGCTCCTTAGATACGAAGATGGCGAGACTTCATCTCTCATATTTTGTACATATCAGAAAGGATCTGTTCCTGGAGGAGGATATCATGCTTGGTAAAATGCAAAGTCAGTGAGAAAAGAGGAAGACCCTCAATGAGATGGAATGATACAGTGGCTGCAAAGAACAGCCTCAAACATAGCAACAGCTGTGATGGCACAGAATTAGGCAGTGAAGAGTTTCGTTCTGTTGTACACAATCATGAGCTAAAACCAACTCGACAGCAAACAACACTGATCTGTCACTTAAAGTGGTTAACAATAATTAACCAAATAATGACACTTCTAAAATTTAAAAGAAATAATAATTAGGTTTCTAGGAAAGTGTTCTATAAACGTGTGACTTCTGGTTGTTAAGTGCCGTTGAGTCAGTTCCAACTCATAGCAACCCTGCACAGGATTTCCAAGGAGAGGCTGGTTTGGTCTACCTTGTGGTTCAAACCTAGTGCTTACTGTACAGCGCCGTATCAGGAAATGAAGCCAACAAACAGTTTTAGTATCAACCAAAATTTTCATTTTATAAACATCAGACCAAAAGACAGAAATAGCCAGATAGTCTGAGACCAAAAAAAGTACTAACTAAAAACCAACTGCCATTAATAGTATCGCATTTGATTATAACAAATCACCACCAGTGCTCCTTATAAAAATCAAAATCCATTCCAACCAGTCTATGGGTAATTATATCATGGGCTTGAAAAAGCAGCTTTCTGAAATATTTTGCTCATATGATTTTCTAGTCTTATTACTCCAATTGTTTTTTCTACTAACTCATTATTAACAGAAACTACTTTATAATACAAAAGTTCTTTATATATCTAGTTCCTAAATATTACAATATAAATGTTGAATAAAATAAAATATGCTCATTTTCATTATGCTATTCTTATTTGTCCTGATAAAAGGCAAAACTAGCATCTTTCCCAAGAGTCAGAATTAGTATAATAATCTTAATTGAGAGATAATTTTGCATTTGTAATATGTATGACTTAAGAAACCTATACAGGGTCACTATGGGTCAGAACCGACTTGACGGCACTTCCAACACAACAACATGCCTTAAGAAAAGACCATGCAAAAATTAGTAAATCCCGATTCTTTTTAGGCAAGAAGACCAAGCAGAAAGCTTTAATCAGAAAATTATGAAAAACAAAGTTCAGTCAGAAGAAGGTTTAGGCAGAAAAACTCAAATTGCCTAAACAAAAATATGTTTTTAATATACAATTCAATGAAGAAAACTGAGGCACTCCATGGGGACTATATCAAATTAGTAGAGTACTACATTATAAGGTAGTGCTGTACCTATATACATACTGAAGCACAATTTTATAGTAGCAACTTCAGTTAGCAAAATTATTTCATCTAGAAAGAATTTATCATAAAAACTGCCAACCCTGGTTACCAAGTGTATTTAAAGTACGTTTTTCATACTACTTTTGTCAATTTTTTTAAAGTACTAAAACAAGTATAAACCAAACTTTTAAAACAGTTTTTCACAACAAAATTTATTAGAAGAATAGTGGTTTTGAAAAGTCTAGCATCCAGTGAGAACTACCATACACAACATTACAGCTGGGAATGTTTCTCCAAAATGTCATGGTCAAATAATACAATGGAACCATTAAATCTTACACATGCACGAAAGAACTAGCGCTTCTGACATACAATGCAAAAAAAAGGGGACCACATGGATTAAAGTTTTAAGTACTCATCACATACATTAAGACACAGCTTATTTTAGTCCAGTCAAAAATCAGAACTGCATTAAAAATTTTAATGTAGTGCAATCAAACAAAAAAGAAACTTAATTTGTGATCATAAGTGCTCTACTACATAAACATTGATCATAGCAAGGAACAAAAAGTTCAAATCACACAGTACAAAAAAAAAAAAAATCCGTAAATAAATATAAACTACAGTACAAGAGAAATATTAAATTATACAATTCTGTCAAACTGTAAACAGTATATTGAAATGAGGTCCATAGAGTAAAGGGGGTTCCTGTTTTGTTGCATGACACTTGAACTTCTAGAAATCTGAAAAATGCCATTTTCCATATTTTCAAAGGCTATGGGCTTTATAAATGGAAATAACTAATTTTCGATATAAAATATCAAATATTAAAGCAGAGGAATAATCTACTTTGCTAACCACAGACAGTACTGCAGAAAACAAAAGGAGGTTTTTAAGAATAAAGACCTCCTGTAGACAAGTCTTAACAGTAAAGATGCAAAGAGCTAAAACACTGAAATTAGAACTTCACATCTGAAGAAACTTGTCAGTGAGGACCTTCAAGGCTACCAATTATACTAACATAAATCACCTGCTCACAAGCAGACCTAGACCTCTGCTAATTTTTGACATTTTACATATACTCATGTTACAACACCAACTTTGGCAGAATCACTACTAATAAACTCAAAGCACTCCTGGCCCAATGGTTCCATCACAGTGGCCAGTGCACAGAATTCTCTGAAGACATTGCATAAGCTAGAACGTAGAGGTCAGACACCCAAGGACCAGTGCTTGAATTTAGTAGTAGTTATGGTGAAGAAGCAAGAGCCACATCAAGAAGAACTGCATCTGTTACTTTACAGAAGCACTAAGGAATGTTGTTTTCATTGTGCTGGCTATTAGTGGCATTTACAAAAGAGAGAGTTTTACCTTGTATGTGTGGTGTGCTGGCTATACATTTATGCACATCTTATTTTTTAAATACACTGGTAACAGGAACCCCCACATTATCTGCTCAGTAGTAATAACTGAATATATAGAATGCCACTATAAGAGTGTGAGGCACCGTGTGCTGGAGAGTTATATGCAGCTTTAAAATGTTTGGCTGAGTTATACCTGGATACCTGAACTGAGTTTTTAAGTTGACATTCATCAAGGATGTGCTACCAGCACGTTGAAATAAAAGTAAAACAGAAAAATACAAGTCACTGTTAGGTTTAAGAATAGCATCAAAGTACCTGAATTGAGTGAGAATAGTGTGTAAACTGTCCCTGAGGGTTTTTAAACAGTGTGTTTAAGATGGATTCCTAAGAACATCAGTTTTATTTAACAGTGTGGACTGATAAAATACCAATGTCTGACAATTTAAAGTGGAGGTTATAAAGAATTATATGCAAACACTCCAAATGTGTATTTTATACATTTCTTTTCAAAGCAGCAATAAGCTGCTGTAAAGTATACATCCCATCAGAACAAGCAACATGTGGGAGTCAGATAAAGGTTTCTTCAAATGGTTTTCTGACAGCACAGTATATATCAATATCCAATGACTATATCTTTCCTAGATCAGAATGTAACTAATTTTGACTAGCAATATAGGATTAGACTTTTAATCAAACACTTTGCTATTACATACTAAAATTCCTTAAACTTACTAATGCTGGTATACTAACCTAGTTAATTATCCCCCCCTCATTTTAGAAATATACCCTTCCACAACTTAAAAACATTAAGATCCATTTTCAGTCCTTTGATGTAAAACGTGTGTCAGTGAATTAATATTAAAAATTTACACAGTAAAAAGGCTTGAATTTCAGCCAAAGATCCTAAATACTGCTCATTCCCTGAAGACTTAAAGGGAGAGAGGATCCTTACCCATTTTCCTAGTGGGTTAATTTTTTGAAAATGGTTGGACACAATTTTTCATTTGAAAAATTTTCAATTTGCATTTCCCCTCACCTCCTCTTAAATTCCAATTCTTAAGCCTGAAATGCTTAATGAAATTGGGATAATGAGACATTTACTTGGAATTGATTAAAAAGTACAAAATGTTGTTTGTTTGTTTTTTTAAATAAGAATCACTTATATAAATGTGATCTGACCCCATAGTATGTATGTTGTAAAGTTTTATATTTTCAAATAGTCATCCTAAAACTTTCAGTACCTAAGACTCTGAAGATAAATTAAGACTTTAGTGTTGTAACAGAAAAAGTGCTGAATTATCCCTTTTCTAGTACTTTAAGTGTTTCAGACAAGTGCTTTCCTAGTGACAGTAAAGTTTACTGTATACCCTTCCACCAAGCAGGAAAAAAAGTCAACTGGATGAAAGAAAAGACTTTTAGGAGTGTAGCACCATGTATTTACCAAACTTAAATAGGAGTTGTTTCATTCATTTGTGAGCAAATATATTCTAGACTGAAGTTCTATTTGGCTATTGACAGTTAAAAATCCCTGCTCTACTGTGTCAGTGTCCTGTGTCCAACTATCCCAATCCCCCACCCCCAGTCCCCTTACACACTATCCACTGAGAATCTAATCTCTAATGAGATTATTTTTAAATTTATGTTTTCAGGACATACCTGAGAAAGGGTGCAATTATGCAGAACAAGGAACCCAAGACTGCACTAATACTGGTTATAGGTTCATAAATTCTTTCCCAAGACAAATCTAAAAAGTCTAAGAGGTATGGATCTTCAAAAATGTCTTACTGCTTTAGATTTTTTTGGTATGTGTGTAGGGTCATTTCCAGTGTAGAAAAGATCATCTTGAGCCTGTTCAATGACAGTTCAAGACAGGGTAAAAAGTTCATTTCCACATTCAAACAATAAAGATTAAATATTATGATTAAAGTATTTGCTAATTCCAATATATCTATGATTAACTAAAAGTGCTTGTTTTTCGGCTTTTATTAAAACAGCTCTAAAGGAACTGGAAACCTTAAAATTACCTCCCAAATAGTTGCAAAATTAGTTCATGATATACGCTCAAATCAATTTCAATTAGCCTTCTCATTTTCAAACAGTCTAAAAATTTTTCTGTCAATCAAATGAAGATGGCCCAACTTTACCACATTATCTATCCTGTGACTAGTTTTTAGTATTTCAGGCCAGAATCTTTAGCCTCTTCTCAAAAGCCTACATACTTAACGACATTCCCATCCCTCAATCTTTCATAACACTTAGGGCACACAGCTACAGGGCTGTCTGCATCTTTAAAAGTCTACGTAACTGCAAGATTATTTGGGTACAAATAAGAAACAAAGGATATGCAGAGAATATCTCCCTGCTCTCTTCAGTCACCATGTTCACAAATCCTACTCAAGTCTCAAAGATAAGATGAATCCAAAATAAATGAAGAAAAGAGTTCAGAGGTCTGCACTCCTTCTAATACAATGATAGTTTTTCAGTAAATTTTGAAAGCAATTATTATTTTTAAATCTCTATATAGCTTAATAGACTTCTAAAAGGATTGTTTGGCTAAAGCCACCAAAGTTTTACTAACACTGGCTTCACAATAGTATCAACGAAGACCTAATGCTAATGGTAAAGTAACAAGGAAAATGATCTTTGCTATCTTCATGTAGGTCGAATTTTAACATATAATTTTGAATGTCTCCTATAAAACATTAAGTGAAGCAATTCAGTCCATTGCCATATTCTATCACCAATGACAGCAACCTGATTATATATAAAAGAGTGGTCTATCTGAAAATGACCTCTGGCGACAGGGAAAGAATTACAAAAGCAAAAAGTAAGTAGTTTCCAAATTAAATCCCAAGGGATAATAGATATTAACTAACAGTGAACTGTAATATACCCACTGTTAACTATTTAAAGTAAGTTCACCTTCTGACTTTGAGCTAAGATTCATTAATTTGTTTTATAAAAATAACTGACTGAATCTAAGCTTCACTATATTACGGGGCAATAAAATGTAAGAGAACCACAAAGGCTTAGAACCAGGCCTGGCACTATGTGCTTAGTTGGGATAGAGAAAGAATATACAGCTCATAAGCAACCCAAAGGTTGCTAGTACTGCCTAATGACAGAAGGTAGTTATGATACGGGCCTTTAAAGGTAGTTATTTTCTTCATCTAATTTAGAGTTCTCTCCAGGAAATTGGGAACCAAATTTCTCATTGTGCCTTATTATTTTTACTATCTGATCCCATATAGCTCATGTTACAGCTCAGGTAAAATGTTGGGAAATGGAAATGCCAATTGGTTGAGGTAATGGTTTATATAAGATAACCAGAGTTCTAAAAGCACTTCAATATTGTAAAGTAAAAGTGTACCAAATAAAGCTAATACACACTTCACACTTGTTGAGCTTGCTCACCAGAACTGAACAGTAATTAACTTCACATAAGGACCCCTATTATCACACAAAGCCTTACTCATATTCATGATCTGCTCAGCAAGTTTACCAAGCAACACCTAAACTTCATAATAACAACAAACTTAATATCAAAAAGTACTATACACACAAATATAAATTATTTTTCCTGAAAGAGACCTTGTCCTTCATAGTATTTGGGGAACAAAAAAGTGTAAGCTCATCGCAAATAAAGTTTACTTTTAAGCCTACTGAACAAAGTAATACACTACATTACTGTCAAGCTTGATGACTAGAGTCTCAGACATGAGAAAGCTAATGACAAAAACACCACCAAGATATCCTTCCAGAGAATTTAGTGTTTTTGATTTCATAGTGCCACAGCGTATCTATTCTGTATTACTATGCTCTCTCATAAAAATGTAAGAATTGATTTTTAAGTACATTGTCTCTCGACTATCATTAGTTGGAGTAATGTCATCATCTGGTGATTGGAAAATGTAAGAAAGACAGACTTTTGTGACAAAGACAGTTGTGAACTACACTTTCTCATACCATAAAAATGGTCAACCATTTTTTGGATCATGCAAAACTCTGATTAGCAGAAATTAAGTATGCGAATAGACCAATCTCTATTACACATTTATGAGGACGTCCCCAAATTAGAATATCTACACTGAAAGTGCCAATATAGAATAGTGGCAAATCAAGAAAGAAATCAAACATTAAGGGTCAGTGTGGCACCAAGACTGACAACCAGCCAAATGATGAGCCACCTCTGAGAAATACATGGTATAATGGAATTCTGAACACAAAATTTAACATTAAAAGTGCACCTGAATATTACAAACTAACTTTACAAAACCTACAGTAGGGTAAAATATAAATCTTTTGAAATATTCAGCAGCTTTAAAATTTTTTTAAGTTTATTTATTTACTTTGAGAGGCTCATGAAATTTAAAAGGGACCACTCACTATCTAATTTCAACCATGCTTCACAAAACAATAATGGCTATTTTATATTGCAGTTACCAGTGTAATGCAATTAGTGCTTTAAAATAATCTATGCTTAAAAAAAAAAAAAAAAAAAAAAAGAGCGAGAGAGAGAAAGAGAGAGACCTTTGGAGGAAATATGCTTATTCAAAAGCTTCTTGGAAAAGAATGTTTACCTGAATATCAAGTCATGACTGATCTCAAGTGTAATGTTTAAAAGCTTCACAGACATGAATATTACAATCTTCAGGTCTCAGGACTTTTAATCTGAGAAAGTTTAGAGTTTGGTTTGTTTTTTAAATTCACTTTCTAACCAAAACGAATAATAAAAAGTACTCAAATTTTCACTATTTACAACTCTCAGCCTACAATCTGAAATGACACAATACAAGTTCTCTTATTTAAACTGCAGCATTAAAGGGTAGGCACACCATTCTTCTGCTGCTCGATTGTCATCCACTGAAACACACATAGAAAATATTTATGTTAGTAAAATGATCACTCCATGTACACTACAATGACAAAATTTACATAACTCAACTCATACATCACTTATATAGACTATCACATAGGATTAAACCTCTCTGAACAGTGAAACTCTACAAAATTGAATTTTAGGGCCAAATTTAAAAATGGGCCTTTAAAGATGCCTTTCTGAGAGGGGGATAATAAAAGCACAAATTAATTGTTTAAAGAACCTTTTTGCAGCAATCTTGGGCTACTGACTATCCCAAACATCATGCAAAAAGGCACCGTGGCTACAATTACTTGTGTGCTGATAAATTCTTAAGTGTGGAACAAAAGTCATTTCTTCATAAGCTTACCCTTTGCTTTCAGCAAACTTTCTACAACTTCCTTCAACTGCAGATGATAACCATACGTTTCATAATGTATTTTTATTGCAATTTCCAGCTACGCTGGAAAATATTGCAGAGTCATATACTGCTATTGAACCTAAACGGCTTTTTTTCTGTTTTGAAGACTAGAAAGGTAAGAGGAAACAGGCTTAGTCATCCACTCATTAAACTGCTACAACAAAATAACCAAAAGAGGAATGCAAGCCCAGGCTACATCTAGAATGAGCAGTGCATATATATTAATAACAGTAATGGTGTGCCTAACCCTTTGAACACATAGGTTGTTGGGAGAAAATACCCTTCACCTAATTTAGTGAACTGCTCCAGTTTCCAGGTAAGAATTTATGCCTTGGGGCTATCTGGACCTACTTCTCCTCAAATTGTTAGCAGCCATTTGAAATTATCAACCTCAATTTAACCAGTGTTCTAAGTCTTATATTATTTTACAAAGAGAGTTCCAATGATTTGTTTTTTCTTTTGATAAGCATTTAGAAAACTAGAATGACCATCTTTCCCAGCAATTTAGAACACAGGGTGCAGTGGTATGGATTTTGTTTTGTACAAATAGTGATTTTAATTTGGTCACAATGCAAATTTAAATCCCATGGGCTTTACTTATCAATTATTTTTGTGAAAAATTATAGGTAATACACTTTCCCAACTTAACTACTCTAATTGTAAAAGCCCATCTCAAAAAAGCTTAGATGTTCTTCAAGGAATGCTTATGCCAACATCATCTGACAGGTCCTTTTAACTGTGTGCTAAACAATCCTGAAAATCAGGTAACTATCAGAAAGAGTTACAAAGGAGATATTACATAAGATACCAAAAAAGGAAAAAGGAAGGAAAGAAAAAAAAAATTGAGCAAGAAAATGAAATAAAAGCAAAAACCACCCTTGTACTAGTATTTGAATTAAAAAAGAGACTCAAATGAGCTTGACTCCTGACTGAATTATTGTCGGAAATGATATACAACCTAAATCCTATTAGTTTACCTGGGAATTGTTTTTTCTTCTCTCACCACAAACATGAATCTTTCATTAGTATGGCTATTTGGGCAGACTACTGAGGCCATAAAACCTAAATATTTTGCAATGTTATAGTTACTTACACACTTTCCTTCCCTATTTATCCCATCCCCAATAAACAGACCTTGAATATTTTAAAACTAGATAATATAACAACATTCAGTCGTTAGTTAGCACATGATCAAATCAGTTAAAGGATTTAAGAACGCAAAGGAACCTAGTTTGCAAAAATGAGGCAACCACTATTGTTTTATGTAATGTACCCTGACTGCTCCTGAGCAAGAACGGAGCTCGTCCTCCATGAGATAAGGCTATATCCTCACCTGATGGTGAGACCGAATTCTACCCTTAGAAAACCCTAAATGAAATTATAGCAAAGGTAGTGTTACAAAGTAATTAACTGAAGCATTTCTGAAGGTAGTGTGTATACCTTTTCCACCTCCTTTCCCTCCTCTCTGGGTGAGCACTGAATAGATTACATTAGTAAGTAAATTTAATAGAAGAAAATTATAAGATATAAATTGACCCAAATGATTAGTTATCATTATCATTGGATAACCAAATTTCTTGAGTTCAAAGAGTTCATTATTCTTCTGAGTTTTTTCTTTTGTTTAATCCTTCCATTAGTTGAATCTTGGAAGTAAAAAATATGAGTAATTTTACAAGATGGCTTCCCAATTTTGTAATGATAAAGCTCCCAGTATGACAGAGGTGTTTTCTAAAAGGGGGCTTTTTTTCTTCTTCTTCATCTTCTTTTTTTTTTTTTTAAATAAAGGCAAATATAACTTAAGGGGGGAAGAAAACAAAACAAAACAAAAACCAACAACAATAAAAAACAAAAGAAAAGCATGCAGGCTCTACAGGCAAGGAGTCCACTTCCATGTATCTGTGTTCTCTGTGAGGTAACTCAATTCTCTTTTGTAGAGAAACATGCAAAAGGCCAAACAATATTCCGAGCCATACTGCACATGGAAATTTAAAAATATGCACATTCTGAGTGCACCTTTCATTTCTGTACACAAGTCAATGCAAAATCTGCAAAGAAACAAGTGTCACAGTAAATGAAGTTAGGTGCAATGATAGTTGAACTATGCAGTAGTGCTCACCCAGTTTGTACAGTAATTGGCACTCTACAGTATTCCTACTCGTTTTTTGATTCATTTGCACTTTGTGCTGCCTCTCCCTGGGGATCTAATTCAATCTTTACAGAAACATCTGGCCCCTGTGATCTCATTAATTTCATCTTTTTCTTTGGAGGGTTTTTCAAAGTGCCCAGCCTCTCCTTTACTTTGTACTCCAGTGTACTGTGGGGAATCCCATAAATACTCTGAGCTTTGGAAACACTCATTTTTCCACTCATAACCACGGAGATTGCTTCCTCCAGTATCTCACTGTTGTACTGTCTGTAACGCCCTCTTTTCTTCCGAGGCTGCTTGGAGCCAGGGTCTCCTTCTTGATCCGATGTGGGATATGGCTGTCCAGAGGTAGACTGCTCAGCATCTGAGCCCCAAGAATCAGGTCCAGCATCTAGCATGCTTTTTCTATTTTGTTTTGGAAGAATAGCCCTTAATTTTTTACTAAGCGCGCTCTCCGTTTGTGAACCCATTACCAAAGAGCTATAGCTGTACTGATCACCAGTGCGAGACTCCCAAGAAAGATCCATTCCTCGAACTTGTGGTATTTTTAAATCTACAGGAGACGAATGGCTCGCGTCCTTTTTTCCATCTTGTTTTGTTTGAAGTGCCATTTTTGGAAAGGCAGAGTTTTCTGCAAGAAAAGGAACGTCACTGATGTTGCTGAGTGCACCATTTCCCCTGAATTTCATACGGCTGAGGTTGAATTCATAATGTGGTTTCGCCCAAGAGGCTTCCCTGGATAATATTAAGTGTTGTCCATGATTCTGTAATCCAGATGGCCCAAGGCTGGCAGCTGTGGACAACTGGTTTCTGCTCAGTAGTTCTTCACTAATCTGCAGAGATCGAGCCAGTGGAACTTTGAGTGATGTGGAGTGTCCAAAACCTTCCCTGGTTCCATCCTGTAAGCTTCTTGGAGGTACCCCATCACCACTCCGAAGTCCGTCTGGGCGGTACTGGCTGGGTCTCCCCGGTCGCCTAATTGGATGGAAGGAAACTGATGTGAGCAGGACTTGCACAGGTAGGGAGGGATGGGTGAGGGGACCACTCCTTTATTAGAAGGCCTTGCTTGGGTAACATCACTTTGTGTTATTTATTTATTTTTCTCTAAAAATTTTGGAGGAAAAAAAAAAAAGGTCTCAGCAGTTAGTTTTAAACCTTGTTCACAAAAAGATAAAAAGGAAAAAAGAAAAGAAAAGAAAATGGGAAGAAAAAAAACCAAAAACCAAAACCAAAAAAACCAAGAGCTTTTTGGGCAAAGAAAAATTAAACCTGTCAGCTGGTCTCTGGCTGGGTTCACAAATTTCGGAGAAAAAGGTTCGCGCAACTGTCTGAAAATAGCACCTTAATTATTAATTACAAAGTAATCATTAGTCTCCATAGATCGACACAGAATTGTGTTACTAATGTGACGTTACCACTAAACAAGTACAGTAATAAAAGAGTAAGCCAAATTATTTATTTTAATGTAACATATTTAACATTCGTGACAACCAACTGCAAAACTGAAACCATTTACATTGGTGGAACCCATAGATAATTGCTCATTTATTCCACAAACAAGTTGATGTTCATTATAAAATCAAACAGCTCCAAATAGCATTCCTTATTTTGCTTCAGAAAAAAAATAATAATACATGCCTACCTGCCAAAAATTCAAAACAAAACCCCAAGTCCCACTGCTTATAACTTACCATTACTTCTTCATTTTACAACACTATCAGCTGCAGATACATGAGTATCATTGATTCTGCATTTAAAATATTCCAAGCTTAAAAGAAATGACCTGCATTTTCTCCAGACCTTTATTCTTTAAGTTCTAATGAAAGCAATTATTGTCAGAGGTACATGAACAATTCTATAATCATTTTATTTATTTATTTATTTGGTTAAAAAAAAGTACAAAGCATCTATTTTGAAATTTCAAGTGGATAGCTTTCAGATAATTTTGCCCATACTAATTAATAGGTGTTGAAGTTCAAAAGAGAGAGAGAGAGAGATTATCAATATTAAGGTTGGCAACTGACAAAACAGGCTCAAGGGGAATGTTGTGAAGTGTTGTTGAGTCGTTTCCGACTCACAGCGAAACTGTATAGGGTTTCTGAAGCTGTAAATCTTTATGGGAGCAGAAAGCTCCATCTTTTTCCCAAGGAGTGACTAGTGGGCTCAAGCCACCAGCCTTCTGATTCACAGTCCAGTGATTAGTTAATTTTGCATAAATAATGGTACACCACATTTTCCCTACGTGTACAGGAACACTGTGCTGTCATAGTAAGTAACATAGTAAGGATAACAACTGAATATTCAACTATGGGCGGTATTGTTGTTGCATTTATCATTCATAAAACAAAACCATGTAGAAAACACATTCCATTCAGAGGGATGAACACAGCAACTTCAACCATTTAATACATGGGCCTCATGGCCAAGTTTAATATGAACTGCAAGGAAGAGAGTCACTTATGCAAACCACACTTTGGCTTCTCCTGGATATGTCCTTAATTACACAATGCAAGTGTTTTAAAAAAAACATATATCCAATGCTTTGGGACGATGCTAATCTATACACAGTATAAACTACAATTAAAGGAAGGGCTTAAGAAAAAGGATTAATAAGCTATTCAAGATAGATTAAAATTAATAGCTATTTTTAGATAGATAAAAGGAGGGAAGGAAAAGAAAAATGACATTTTAGAAAAAAATAAAAGGGGGTATTTTAAGGAATCCCTAAATTTGAAGGTAATTAAGAGTAAACTGGAAAATGTTACTCCATTTTATGCCTCCCTGTTACTTTACCTATCTATTAAAATCTACAACCAGGCCTACCTAGTAGAAAACAAACAAACAAAATATATATATATATAATTACGTTTTCTGAACTGCAATAAACAGTTAAAATTGCAGTTCACATCAACAAACACCACCAAACCAAAAAACTAATATACACACACTATCACAGATAACAAGTTAAATCCTAGCATCCAATTTTCAATCTAAAACTTCAACATACCCAATTCTGGCTTTACACCTTCACTTTGGAATTATGTAGCTAGGGTTTCACACTCCAAAACACTCAACAACAAAAGATTCAAAGACACAGTCTTGCCATATCCATAATTACTAACTGTATTAAACTGAGAAAATCTCCACTAGCCAATTTAGATTGTACAGATTATACTTCTGTGCTTGACACACTACACAACATTTTACCAAAGTCCCACCTATGACACTGTTACTTTAAAGGATTCATTATTAAAATACACAGGGAAGACTGGCATCAATCTTTGATAAATGATCTCTATAAATTTATCGAAAGCTATACAAGTATTTCCCTTACCCGTTCCCTTGAGTACTGGAGCAACCTGGAGAATGGCTCAGGGAAGTGCTGCCAGCACATGGACTTTTCTTAGTGGATAGATCAAGTACACCGTCTGTAGAGACACAAAGGAACACCTAAAGATATTAAAACCTGGGAGCAAATGTGAACTGTGTAGACTAAAATTAGGAAGGCAAGAGGTCTAGTCAACTGAACAGATATATTTGCCACATATGTATTTGAGTTATTGAATCAAATAATGTAATAAAATCAGCACAATTTTTCTTCCTGGAGCTACATAAATATAGCAGAGCATGTTACGTTGAATATCACAACTGGTAAGTGTTTTATTAATAGGGCAAAAAGAAAGCAGATCATAGATGTTAAGACAAATTGAGGTATTAGAAATACAAATTTAAGCTGCATAAGGTTCTAAACTAGAATTACTAGGCTTCGCTTCCTTAATTTACCTTAAGCAAAGCATATGACCTTTTAATATCTCACACATTTAACACACAAATGACAAAACCAAAACCGAAAGTATTCAAAAGTTTGATTCTAATTAAACTAGATGTATATACTATACAGTACAGTTGTATAAAATAACAGTTTATAATTTCGGTGGGCCTTAATTTCTCTTTGGATACATCTGTAAAAATACTGTATGTGTGGAGACAGTCTTTTGAAAAAATATGCATATTCAATAGTCACTGGAGAAATTTTTCAAAGGCAAGGTTTTTCCATTAGTAAGGTACTAAAATTGGTGGACAAAGTTTAGGAAAGGAAAGGAAATAATTAAACAGCCCTGATTTGATAAGTGCCATTTTTATTTAAGTTAAATCAAATAATAAATTCATGTTACTAATATATAAAATTAGAGTTCTGGTGTGGTGCTGTAGGATTAGCACTGTACTACTTAACCACAATGCCAGTGACTCAAAATCACCAGCCACTCCTTGAAAACCCTGTGCTGGGTCACTAAGAGTTGGAATAGATTCAATATCAATGTATGTGTACACATACACACACACACACACACACACACACACACACACACACACACATGAAACATCTTTTCTCCCTCAAATACTTTTTTCCTTACAGATATTATCTAGAAATCTCATGCTGCTGGTGTCAAGCATCGCTGAGTTGGTTCTGATTCATAGAGACTCTGCACAGGGTTTCCAAGAAATAGCTGGTGGGTTTGAACTACCAACTTTGTGATCCAGTGCTTATCCTACAATGCCACACCAGGACTCCAGAGTGTGGACTTTTAAAACTCCCACTGTTTCCAAGATTAACAGACAAAATTAATATTCAATGAAGCTGATTATCAAGGGGCCAGCAGAGAGGTTCTGTTATCTAGTTATGTTAAACATTGCTCAAGTACAAACCCTACTTATGACTTGTGTCTGAGGATACTGTAACTCTGTATTTTCATTCAGGTTGTTAGAAATGAGGAAGACAAAGAAACAAACAATAACATTTACATAAATCTAAATTCTGTTCCTTAGAAGCATGAGTATTTCTAAAAATATCATTGTAATTTTATGGAAACAAGTACCTTAATTCAAGTAGATTTCTAATACACAAATGTACTAAAAGTTTTCAATCAAAGACAGTACTATTTAAAGACTTTCAAGTACGTCTAATCAAACAGGAGTCTGGGTGTGGCAATGTAGGATAAGCACTGAACTGCTAACCATGAGGTCGGTGGTTCAAATTCACCAGCTGCTCCTCAGAAACACTATAGAGAGTGGCTATGAATTGGACTCAACTAGACGTCACTGAACAATAATCACCACAACCAAACAGGCAACATGGTTTAAGTCTACCAACAAACACTGAGATTAATGTTGAAAGTGCACTAAAGCTCTTCAAAGAAATGTAGTTTTAATCTTTTCACTTTTAGTCTATTCATAATAATCTTACAATCTAGTTACAATTTTTTTTAATAAAACATGCTGTCAACAAACATCTCAATTATACACAAGTGATAGTGAAATTTGATTAAATGGTCTCTTCATATGTTATCCCCCATTATCAATATAAACAGCCTTTAAATATAGCCTCTATGCTGTCATTTTTCTGTTGTAAACCTGAAGCTTTTAATGCAATATTCAGAGCAACAAGAGTTTTCACGAATAAAAATCAATTCGCATATGTATGAGGGATCCCCAATAAAACAGAGAAGAAAAAAAACTTGGCAAGTACGGTAAATAAAAATATGCTGGATAAATGTGAACCGTGGACAACCAGGAAATCTCCTGTTAGGAAATCTCTTGAAATCTGATTACTATTTATGCCACAGAAACAAGAAAAAGCAAAAGAAAACACTTAAAGAATATTTTATTAAGCAACTAAAGCTAGTCCATTACATGTAAGACCATCATTAAGTACTTAGGCTAAGAAAAGCTTAAAGAAGAGCTTTTAAAAAAAATAAATTTCTTTATTGCTAAAATACATTTATTTCTCACCAATAAATCCACACATCTCACAGCCTTTTAACACTTGTGAAATTTCTACAATAAAACATAGTCAGTACAGATATTACTAATTTATATAATCCATGATGGTTCAAACAGTAGCTGTGCTACTTCTTGAACGTTTAACCCTTCTTTGTGAAATTAAAGGTAAAATGAGATCATAAGCTATAGGAATATTTGATCTATTTAACAAAATAAGCACTGCAGGAATTTAAGAAACACTTTCTAACCTATTCAACTTATCCTCACCAATAAATTTTCTTTTGTAAATAATTATTTTTGTATATTTACAAAATATTGAATAAACTTAAAATTTACTTAATCCTAAAATGACTAGTCAAACTAGAGGCAGTCTCCAGATAGGAATGGCTGACTTGGGAACAATTCACACTTGTCCTTTGATGTTATGTAAATATATTTCACTTTGAAATGACTGAGACAACTCTGTTGTTGTTGCTAAGTGCCCTTGAGTTGGTTCCGACCCATAATGACCCTGTATAGGGTTTCTGAGAAGCAGCTGGTGAGCCTAAACCACCAGCCTTGTGGCTCAAGCCGACTTTGCAGTCTAGCGCATTAACCAGCAGCGCCACACCAAGACTCCAAGACAACTCTACTTGCAACAAATTCATCACAATCACTTTCACTTGCTGTATGTACAGCTTTTTAAACCACTGAAAGGGCTTTGAGTCTTTTCTTGCACTGAAGTTAGGCTAAACAAGAACTATATGCACCTGTTCTGACCTAGCTTCAAATTTGACTGAAAAACATTCTTGCTGTGTGTTGTGAGTGCCATTGAGTTTTTTGTGAGTCATAGAGGCCCTGAATAGGGTTTCCAAGGAGCAGCTAGTGGTACTTATCTTTATGTGCCATACACACACACAAAAGAATGGATATTTTTGTACCCTGGAGCCTGCCTGTACTTTAAACTTAACATTTCAATCAAAAGTGTGTTTTACTGTCTTCCCATTTAAAAGTTTCTGGCCCTAGTGAATTTCTTTTTACAAAGTGTAAGCAATATATATTTTTGCTTTAGGATCTTAATTGCAGAGTATAACCTACCCTAACAAGAAAAGGCAGGATTATTTCTCAGATGCTAATCTTGGGGTCCTGGTATAGCACTGTAAGGTAAGTACTGGACTACAAGGCTAGATTGACCTACAAAGTAGGTGGTTCAAACTCACCAGCAGCTCCTTGGAAACCCTATACAGGGTCACTATGAGTCAAAACTGACTGGATGGCACTTAACAACAACTATCTTAGACTGTGGGTATGGCATTGCAGGATAAACACTGGACCGCAAGGTTGATCTGAACCTCAAGGTGCAGGTTCAGACCCATCAGTCAAACCCTGGAAACTCTATACAGGGTTGCTATGAGTTGGAAGTGACTCAGCAGCACTTAACAACAACAACAACAACAATCTTAAACTATTGATGGACAAAGGAGAAACTGAATTTGTCATCACTAATACTAACTGTTGATGGGTAAGATAAACACTTTATCTGTGCTTTTCCATCATTTCTGCACAGTCAGGAATCATTTAAGAATCACATTCTTTTTCATTCTACTTTTGCTGCTGCTGCCCAACTTGCCAGTAATTTTTTTCTCTCCAAATTAAAGTATTCTGACTGAATAGAGGAGACCTTAACATCAAACCATACCTTGTTCGCTAGGTTCTGACTGAGACTTTTTGACAGTAAGGTCCAGAGGTGAGTCTTGGTCAGCCATGAGAAGTTTGCTGAGCACAGGGTTCTGAGTAGTTGCAGCCGTGGGAGAGGTGGTGACTGGAGATGCTTTCGGCAGGCTTTGGTTCTTTGTGCTATTGGGCTGGCTGGGGTCCTGAGTAGAGCTATTTTTTGAGGTATATTCAGCAGCAAATTGTTGGATCATTCGCTGCATGATCTCACGGGCCACTAGGGGAATATTGGGGTCGGAGACCCAGGGACTGTCTGTAAACAAAGATTTTATTTACTTTTAAGTGGGACAATATACTAAAAAGACAACTTTCAATCAAACATAAAATTAAAAATTTTTGAATATTTTAAAACTTCTAAGCCTATGAGTTCAGATTTTGAAAAAGAAAATTTTCATTAAAATATTTCTAAACATTTTCACCTAGGATAATGAGATTAAATTAAGGGATGACAAATAGTATATTGTGTGGGCAAGAATCACTTACCTGATACAGAAATCCCCAAATCTTTCTCTTATGAAAGAATTACTTTCCTGTTTATCACCTATAGATCACATCAGATTTCCCATAAATTTTTTTCTAGCCATCTCCTCCTAATTTTAAATAAAGGCCATATGAATTCACTGTTTTACTGATTTAGCACTGGAAGGGATCTTCAAAGTCATACAGGATAAAATCAAAGGGAAAATGTCTTGTAAAAATATTAATATCACAATCTATGATTACCACACTCTAACAGTTTCTCAAGTGAACAGAGACTATGTCTGTTTCCTGGGTACACTCAGCATCTAATCTTGCCTGGTGTAAAGTATGCATTCATAATAGTTGGGTAATAAATTGATGAACCAAATCTACCATTATCTTGAGTCCTAGTGTGGTACTGCGGGTTAATGTGCTGGACTGCAAAGTTGGGGGTTCAAATGTCAATGGTTCAAGCTCACCAGTCACTACTAGGAAACCATACGCAGAGTTGCTATGGGTCAGAACCAACCTGATGGCACTTAACAACAACAAATTGTCATCTTATTTTTTTACAAATGAGGTAAATGTGATCTAGCGCATGACTTGGTTAGGTCTGTAGCGCTTCTGATTAGAACTTGTCTCCTGATTCCCTATCACTTTAAGATGGCTATCATACATGTGCCAATAAACCCAGTTCCCACTGCTATAGAGTCAATTCTGATTCATAGCAACCTTAAAGGACAGAGCAGAACTGCCGCATAGGATTTCTAAGGCTGTCACTAGACTGCTAACCACGAGATCCAGTGACACAGAACGGCACACAACAACAATCTTTATGGAAACAGACTGCCACATCTTTCTCAGAGAAGCTTTGTTTTCTGGGTCTTTTGCAGATTTGGTATGCAAGGCAAATTACCCACAGAATTTTAGAGCTATAAGGAATTTAAGAAGTTGATTAATAAATTAAAAGACTGACAATTATTATTAAACTCTAAAGTCTCCACAAAAAATTAACTACCGAAGTCTCTCAGGACACCTGAGAACAATTTCTCTCCCCTTGAAGGGCAATATTCAATACCAGAAAATGTTTACATAAAGTTAGACTATTTATTTCCCTGGTGTTTAACAAGGCTTGCTCTACTAATAAGTCATTCCTGTTATATTAAGAAGTATTTATCCCTGATATCCTCCCTATAAATAAAGACTATGAGTATTCTCAAGGGTATAAGAACAAAGGTATTTAATTAGGTTAAAATTTTAAGTCCCTAGAATCATTGGCAATGGTTCCTTAAGTGTCTTAATAGAAATTCTAGTCATGCATTGTTTAATAAAATTTCTAGTGGGTTTTCTTATAAACATTCATTTAAATGTACAGCTAAGATCCATTTTTTCCTATGTAGCACTATTGTTATCTGCCATTGAGTCAGTTCTGACTCATAGCAACTCTGTGTCTCCAAGGGGCGGCTGGTGAGTTTGAACCCTCGACCTTGGGGTCCAGTGTTTTAACCCACAGCACCATACCAATAAGTTTGTACATAAATGTACAAAAGATTTTATATAATTTCAAGTTTTGATATATTAGTATATCTTTTTCCCCCTGTAAAACACAATACACAAAGAGGAAAGTTACCATATAGAAAATAAAATGAAATAAATCGAGATGTATCTGTGTTATATTAGAATAAACATAATTCAAAGTTTTGTTGAGACAAAGAATTTTAGGGGGAAAAAATCATAAATTTCAAATTTTGAGTTTTTTTATGCCTGCAGCATATTTCACCTCTTTGTTGAATGAATAAAACAACTAAGAAGCAAAATTTTTAATGTTTATGAATCAGGTGACATCCCTGCCACTTGAATTTCTACATATTATGAATGATTCTTTAACAGTTCGTTCTTTTAGTAATTTAAAAGGCCTTATCTATAATTACATCTATGCCTAGGGGAACACACATAGCTGAATCAAATGAAAGCAACAAACCAGATAAAAATTAGGAATACACTTATATACTACATCACAGCAACTGTGTATTTCAAAATACAAATCTAACATTTACAACACTTAAATTTTCAAACAGAAGGGACAAAACACAGTAAAAACCTGTGATTTTAACAGATGTAGAAGGTATTGTGTTGTTAAATTGGAATTTATTATATAGTGTATACCACAAAGCCTACTTTTATCTTTATATATGTTTCTGCGTATGCAATTTGTAATACTTGGAAACAAAGACTAAATTAGAGCATCTGGATTTTTTTTTAATCAAACTATCAGACTAAATAAATTACTTATCATATCCTTGCTTTTGGTATTATTCTGAAGGGTACTGATGGCTATCTTTGAGACAGTTCTAAAAAGATCTTTAAAAATAACAACAGTTCATTTCCCAAGCATCAGGCACCAGTTTATAGACAAATATACACACTTTACACACAATTTCAGAGGATTCGAATCCTCTTGAAGTCTATCTTGAGATCAATTCCAAGGTAAAAACACATACCCTAAATGTTGTGTGCACAAAAGCTTAATTCCTAAAAAAGGAAACTTGTAAAGGACCTAACTGAGAAACGAGATAGAATTTTTCTTTGGGAATCTTGCTCATGATGTTAACCTAAGAGAGGATGAAAAGTGGGAGGTTCCTTTATGGAAATTAGGGAGAGGAGTTCCTTCTTTTCAGATAATGAAGCCTGCTATACCATAACATGAAATCCTGGTGTGGCACTATAGGATAAGCAAAGTTGGTGGTTCAAACCTATATGGGATTGCTATGAGTCAGAAATAACTCGACAGCACGTAACAACAACAACATAGCACAACACACCACCAGACTCATGATTTAGTATATATCCTAATGGAGAAAAGATGGTTAAGATTTTTTTTTTTTGTTACTGACCTGAAAGAATTGACCTATCAGTAATTCATACTTTAAATGTGAATTGCTTTTGAATTGCTTTAATAAAGCAATCACATATTCATAAAACTAACCAAGAAATAGTATTGAAATTCAGGGTGATTTATGGGAAAGATGAACTGAGCATGAGAGCCTAGGCTGGAAGCTAGGTCAGAGTGCCAGGGAGTACAAAAAAAAAGAGAGAGTGTACTAAAAATTTAAGAATGCTTCGGAAAATGTAAAGCCTCAGAAACCCTATACAGGGTTGCTATGAGTCAGAACCGACTTGACAGCACTTAATTACAACAATAACAAGGGCTCTAAAGGAAGAAATTGAATGTACCTCTGAAACAAATAATCTCTCATGCAATTTTTTTATTGTCTATGACACTTCACCTCAGACTAAACTCAAACAAATAAATAATAAAGAAAATGGATTCACTGAGTCTGCTGGAAACTTTTTTTGAATGTATCATAACCTTTCTCTTGGAACCAGAGGTTAAGTGTACCTACAGAGTACAAACTTATTTAGAAAAAAATTTTTTTGAAGTAAAGACCAGAAATAAGGAGCTCTGGTAGCGTAGTGGTTACAAATCGGGCTGCGAACCTTAAGGTCAGTGGTTCGAAACTACCAGCTGCTCTGCGGGAGAAAGATGAGGCTTTCTACTCCCGTAAAGATTTACACCCTCGGAAACCCTATACAGGGTCGCTATGGGTTGGAACCGACTCGATGGCACATAACAACAACAACAACAAAGACCAGAAATAGATCTTAAGAAGAGAAGGTCTCCTTGGCTTACAGAAATTATGTTGCATGAGTAGGGGAAAAAAAAAAACAAAACTAAATTTATTCATGAGGAATTTCTAAGCCTCAGCATTTATGACTCAAGAACTTTCCAATTCTTATATACATTTATATTTTAGGAGAAATGTAAAATAAGCCTACAAAATAAGGAGAAAGATAAACTGGAAAATACAAAAGATCAAACTATTAAACGTCACCTCAAATATAGAAAGGTAAGTTATTATCATAAAAAGACTGTTCCTCTAATTTTAATTTAAAAAATTAACTTATTATATAAATGAGAATTAAATGCTGACAAATGTAATTCAAGATACAAATTTATAACTTATATTTTGTCTCTGAATGAACTTTCACTGAGTAAGCAGAAAAATTTTACAGTTGCTTTTATGATTACAAGTAATTAAAAGACAGAAAGGCTAATGCCTTACAATCTGAAAAATTTACCTAGCACCATCTCATTACAGTTAAAAAGAAAAAAAAAAAAAGGAGGTGGAGGGAGTGGGGCTTGTCTTATCCTATCACTAATTTGATCAAACAGAGGAATATAGAATGATGTTCTTAAGAGAAACTCTCTTGTAAAAATGACATTCAAATTAAGAGATTAATATAAGACAAGCAGATGCTAAATGTCATTCTTCATGGAAACCAACCTTTTCTATAAAAGACTGCATTGAGGAACTCTTCTGCTTGTCTCTCGAATCGAATGATTTTTGCTTGCTCTTGTTTAAGCAGAGCTTCTTGCCCAGCTCCCGAAGCTGGTTCATCCAGACCGACTAAGTGCCCCTGCAAAAATATTTGGTAAAGTATTTGCACAAAAATCTTGCCCCGTTAAACATCAAAAACAAAGGTGCATAACCAAAAACAAACTTTAACAGGTAAAACAAGTTAGTTTCATACAATTTAAGCTACTTTAAAACTTCAAATCAAAATAAGTATGTATTTCCACAAACATATAAAAACAAAATGAGTATAAACATATGCTTCAGAATGTTTTAAGTTCATGTCTTTATTACTTTTTTTAAATTACAGGTAAACTCATACCAAAATTCCCAAAGCGAAACTTTGAGCATTCAAATGTACTGGTTCTATTACATTAGAGCTCACTAACAACTCTGACAGAATGATTTTTTTAAATAATAAAAGAAGTATTAAATCTCAAACTTCATTTGACTTGAGGAACATATTAAGCTTGCCCTACTATTATGAAGTCTGTTTCTTCCAGACACAAAATACAAACATTTCAAAAAGGCCATTAGGAAATAAACTGAAAAGGAAGATAAAAGAATATATTTGAATTTATAATTCTGTCCTTTAGCAATGGTTTTGCAAACAATGGCTCTCAAACTCCTAGTGGGTTGTGAAGTTGATTTACTAGATCTAAAGTAGTGGCAGTGAATTGAAAGATCGGAGGTTCAAATCCACCAGTCACTCCTCAGAAGCCCTACAAAGGGGTTGCTATTAGTCAGAATGGACTCAGTAGCACTTAACAACAACAACAAAACAGCATTTGAAAAAAATTTAATGAAGTCCATATCTCAAGAAGCATGTAGTAAAGGTAAATATTTTTGTATCTTTTGTTATAGCTATGCTTGTGCATATTTTTACAATATGGAATATGAATCTCATCCAGAAGTTTCAAGATGCTATTCTAGACTATCTCAGAGACTCCCATCATTGGCTCTCAGACTGCAAGACAACTGGACTGACTCACAATGCTGATCACTTACTTCAACTCTTCAGCTATAGAATAATGAGAAGACTATTAATATGAGATTAAAAGTAAAACAAGGTGACTCTTTTAGGGATTCTTTACACATTACAGTGCATATAATTTACTTAATATCACTGCACTGTAGCAATACATGCATTCACTTCCATCCTGGAAATATTAAAAATGCTTGAAGTGATAAAAAGGAGACGCAAGTCAGCACAATGAAGTAAACTCAAGATTTTAAATAAATGTACTCAGTGATACTTGCAACTAGCTTTCTATGATTTCCACACCACCCAAACTGTTGTTTTCTTGTCAACAGTACAACCAAATTATATATTTTGCAAAGACACACTTAGTATCAAATACATTATAAACAAATAGTTTGTTTTTGTTGTTGTTATGTGCTGTGGAGTCGGTTCCGACTCATAGCGACCCTACACAGGGTTTCTGAGGTTGTAAATCTTTATGGGAGCAGAAATCCTCATCTTTCTCCCGCAGAACTGCTGGTAGTTTTGAACTGCTGACCTTGAGGTTCGTGTCCCGATTCGTAACCACTATGCTACCTGAGCTCCTTAAACAAATAGTTTACAATGGAGAATTCTCGTAAACTTGAACAGTCTCTGTTAACCTCTCTAAATACGGCACCATAATTTGTTTTTTAAATGTTTAAGCAAAATATGTTAATAAATAATTATTCATTGTGTTGCTAAGTGCTGATGAGTTGATTCCAACTCATAGCAACTCTGTACAGGGTTTCTGAGGAGCAGCTGGTGGGTCTGAACTATTGTGGTTTACAGATCCTATAGCATCACAGTAAGAACCTTCATTGTAGTTAAGTTGTATTTGCCAACTTTTTTTTTTTTTTTTTTACAGACTAAAGAAACTATTACAAAAGTAAAAGTAATTACATTAAAAAAAAATAAAACAGGCGTTAACAAATTTCTCCACTGTACTGTATATTGTGTCATTTAATTGACTTTAAATCATATGATATGTGGCATAAACTGTTCCTAACTAATTACTCCTATAGATTCAGTCAGTTAGAGTCAGACGTTTGTGAACAAATAGTTTTATTTACACTTGTTTTAATATACCATTCAGGTAACCTTCTAACCTAAAGCAAGCCAGAGCAACTAAGCTAGCACTCGGTACGCAGTTACCACATATTCCATATATACCACATACTCCAACCACACCAACTGTAACAACCTGAACTCTGAAATACACAGAATAACTTTTAGTTGATTCCTATCAATTATGGTCACATCTATTTGTTGTTTCTGAGAACAGCTTTATTAAGATGTAATCCACGTTAACATATTCAATTATTATCAAGTATTAAAACTCTATAGTTTTTAGTATGTTCACAGAGCTGTAGGACGATCACCACAATCCCAAATTTAGATAATTTTCATATCTCAAAAGGAAACTCTGTGTCTATTAACAGTTAATGCACATTCCCCAGACCCATCCATTCAACTATAAAAAAGCCAAAACGAAATGGACTGCTATTAGTTGATTCTGATTCATAGGGATCCTGTAGGGCAGAGTAGAACTGCTCACAGGATTCCCACAGTTGTAAATCTACAGAAGCAGACTGCCACACATTTCTCCTGTAAAGAAGGTGACAGACTGAAATCGCTCATCTTTTGGTTAGAAGCAGAATGCTTAACCGCTGTGGCACAAGGGTTCCTACCTCAACCATGGTGGTGGTAGTGGTTATGCACCGTGACATAGAGATCCTATATAGGGTTTCTGAGGTTGTAAATCTTTACGGGAGCAGAAAGCCTCATCTTTCTCCTGTGGAGTGGCTGGTGGACTAGAACTGCTAACCTTGCAGATAGCAGTCCATTACTTATCCTATAGAGTCACAGTACCTCTTTTGTGACTAAAGAATTCTTTATAGTGGACAGAGGGAATCATACAGTAAACTCCTTTTTTTAAAAAAAATTAACTTTTTATTGTGAATTGGGTGAAAGTTTATAGAGTAGATCGTTGGCTTTACATTAAAAAATTCATATTTTTTTTTCGTCTCACTGATTGCAGTCCCCACAATGTATCATCAAGTATCCTGCTTCCTCCCTGTGATTCCTGTTTCCATCTCTTCTTCTTTCCTAACCTTTCTGAACTTTGTCCTTGGGCAAATGCTGCCCTTTGATTTCAAATTCAAAAACCTATTCTAAGGTCTGAATATCTCCCTAGTGTTATTGTTGCCTTTATACATTTTTCTATTGTTTGACTAAAATTGAGTGATTTCATTGAGGGGAGCTCATTTCGAATCCTGAAGCATGACTAAGGACCATAGTCTTAATGAATTCTAATAGTCTCTTTTAGTCTGTTTTGTTCCACATTTTTCTCCCATTCTATCCAGGACCTTCTAATGTGATCCCTTTCGAAGCAGTTTGTAGTAGTATCTGAGCATCATCTCTTTCTTCTGTTCTTAGGGCTGTGTATACTCTTGTGTGGTACATTAGTCTACTGGACAAGTTGTTTCCACAAGTCTTCTATTTTCAGCACTTTTGTTTCCTCAGGACAGGGAGAAACTAACAACTACATACTAGAGGGCTGCTCACAAGCTTTGAAGACTGCAGTCATTGCTCACCAAAGCAGAATATAGAGAGCATTGTCTCTGTGGACTATGCTATGGCAACAGACTTTGGTGTCCTCACAAAGTGGTTCTGAGTCGCCAAGCCCAGCAATTTGTTTCCTCAAGGTGTCTGGTAATGTGCAAGACATTTCCATGACTATGTCCCATGTATGCTCCATCACATTGAAGGATATATGAGGAGAAGTCAAAAACTATCTGCACTCTTGCTGCAGAATTCATTTTAATCAAGTTTTAGAAAAGGTAAAACCATCATTTTTTGTTACATAATCTCCTTGCTTTTCAATACACTTTGCCCATCTGTCAATAAGCTTTCACATTCTCTTATTAAACAATGTTTTTGGATGCACTGCCAGCCATGAATGCACCGCTGTCTTCACTTATTTATCAGAGGACAATCTTTGTCCTTGAAGGGCTGTTTTCAGGGGATTAAACAGGTAAAAGTCCAATGGAACAAGAGAAGGACTATAGGGTGAATGCTTTAACACCTCAATACGAACTGTTTGCAGATTGTCAACAGTGTGGGCAAAGTGTGCAGATGTACACTGTCATGCAAGATTACAACGTCCTTGGATAGCAGTAGCAGTCCTTTGCATTTAATATTTAAGTTTAGGCTTCAGCTCTTTAGTCAGCATCTCACTGTAATGAACACTGCTAATTGTTGAACCTTTTTCCTGATAATGTTTCAATACAGTCCCTTGAGAATCCAAGAAAACTGTAAGCATTTATTTTCCAGCTGAAGGTTGACTTTTGAACCTTTTCTTGGTTGGTGATTGAGGATCATCTGCTGATTAGTCTCAGGATCATAGTGATGAATCTATGACTTGTCACCAGGAATAATATTTTTAAAGAAACTTTTACGTTCCTTCAAGCATCATCAGTCCAAACGCTTATGTTTATGCTCTTCTGTGAGTTGTTTCAGTTCGCATCTTGCACAAACTTTTTGAAACCCAAGTCTGTCGTGGATTATTTCATAGGCAGAGCCATGGGAAATATGTCACTTGTCTATTAAACAGAATCATTTCATGTGCATGCTCAATGTTGTCATCGGCTATGGCCTTGGAGAGGCAATTTCATATAACTGGAGTGCGGATAACTTTTTTATCCATTCTCCTATTTACAGAAAAGGTAGATCTTCATGTATACACATCCTCTGTCAAACCTATATATATTTGTTAAGTACATTCCCATTCTCCCTCCCACACCTGTATGTCTATCCATGAATCTACTAGTTGTTACTGTTGTGTGCTGTTGAGTTGGTTTTGATTAATAGTGACTCTGAGCGTAGTGGTTACGAATCGGGCTGCTAACCTTAAGGCCAGCCGCTCCGCGGGAGAAAGATGAGGTGTTCTGCTCCCGTAAAGATTTACAGCCTTGGAAACCCTGTACAGGGTCGCTATGGGTCGGATCCGACTCGATGGCACTTAACAACAACAACACAGGAGTACTGGTGTGGCTCTGTGG